TAGCAAACGTGCAGCTTGTGCAAACTTAGTGAAGTTATAAGTGAAAATAAAGTTGGGCTCCTGTTCATAGTTTTAAGCAGAAACTTCATAGATATCTGAAATCATTACATAATTCGTAAGTCACTAAGAAAAACATGTGCAAAAATGTCTCCCCAAACTTGTAATTCATTATTTTTTTCAAATGGAGGCTGTCAAATCTTAAAGATTTCCTAACAGATTTGTTGGCAGTCTAAAGGCGTTTTCTTAAACCTATGCCATTATGTTAACTTGCTTTCATTAATACCAGCTCACATGCTACCTCACTGTTGCACTATTCCACAGCAGGGCTTGGGTGTGTGGCCAAGGGGGAAGCAGCACAGCATGAAATGCGGCCCCACACTTGAAGAGGAAGGATGGAGCCATGAGAGCTCAAACAGAGAGGAGTGTTGGTGCCAAGTGAGTCACCTCTTGTCCCCAGGGCCTGGCCTTGCTTCACAGTAGACTATTCTTTCTTCCTGCTGCCAGGGAATGTGCTGAACCGGTCCTACCTTGCTAATTATCTGTGTGTAATGTTAAGCAGGCACTGAAGAATATTTAATTTTGCCATTTTTCAATATTGAATATAGGTGTGTTATTAAGTCGGTCCAACAACTGAATGGAGTTGTGTTCAGTTGCTTACATTAAAAAGGAAAGTAGCCCTTATGAAGAAGGCACTGACATACATGACAGTTATCATCGTAAAATAAAGTGAGTCAGGTACACCATAAGGAACAAGAATATGTATAGAGAAAACGTTTTACATGTTAAACCCAAAGTTGCTGATTTCAAGCCAAATACCATGGATCCCAGGAAGGCAGTAGGGGGTTGTGAATCAGAGTGAGAGGAGTGTGGTCAGTAGCCTTGATCTGAATCCTGGCTCAGCTGCTTCCTGGTTGTCTGTCGGCTTCCTTACATGGAAGGTGAGAGTGACCTCAAAGGACGGCTAGAAAAGTAAATAGAAAAGTGCTTTTCTCACAGCCAGCTGGTGCATGAGTCCATTATAAATGTTAATCATTACACCTGCTATTGATATTAACTTTCTAAAGATACTTTCGGTGTTTAATTTGTAAACTCAGTCTATTTCTATAGTTACAAAAGGGACTATAGTCAGGGTCATGTTGGTAAATATCTTTAAGAATTGTATCACATTCAAGGAGTTCACAGTAACATATGTACCAAAGTGTTCAACACGGTTCCAGTTTGAGATACACAAGCAGAAGTTTGGAAAAGCAGTCTCCTGCAGAGCTTTCCCACCCCTACCTTGACTGTCTAACCAGAAATCGTCTTGTGCCTTGATAATGCACCCTGGGAACGGAGCTTCTCCTTGCCCGCCCAAGCTCTTCTCCTTATCAGGGAGCCTCCCTCCCTGCTCTGGGTACATAGTCGAGAGACTGTTAATGAGTGCATGTCATATGGCACCTGCTCTGGCCCACCCCACTTATGTATGTGTTCTTGACAGAGAAGAAACCCTTGCCTGCAGATTAAGAGAGGTGTGTGCAGAATCCCAGCCCTGTGTCAGCTGTTGCGTGTAATCTGCTGGCCCTGGGGGCAATACTACAATTGAAGCTGACTTTGATCTATGCAAGTGCTACTCCATCCACTGCCTTGACATAAGTCATGGTGTTGTTGTGACTCCAGACCTTGCACTTTGGTTAAAAAGAATTGGTGCTGTGAGTTGGCAGAGAAAGAAGAGATGGCAGTTTGGTGCCGTGAGCAGGGTCCACACTGTTAGATAGAAGTTCCACAGTATCATCTAACATTTTGTTGCCTGCTCATTCACATTTTAGACCACGTCCACTTAGACCATTGAACAGGAAGGGCTAGGAAGTAGGACATAGTCACTCTGCTGAGACCCAGGAGTGTTCGAGCTAAGTCCAAGTGACTAATGGCTGCCAACATTCAAAAATTGAATATGTAAGTAAAGCTGATGCCTTTCCCAATAAGAAGCCATTGTGAGGCATTGCACAGGTGCAACACCCCTAAGACTGTCCTTGCTAAATACCCCAGGCTCCAGGAATGGCTGCCACGATGTCACTTTCAGCCTCAATGTACAGTGTACAAGATATCTCAGATTGAGAGAATTCTTAGTTTATTTCAGCTACCTCATCATGTTTACTTCAAATCTCAAAATTAGAACATTGAAAGGACCATGGCCTGCTAGATGGACAAGCAAATCTGCCGTAAAAGAAGTACAGCCAGAATGCTCCACGGGGGTGATTAGATTTTGTCTCACATACTTATAAGGGAGACCTAAAATGTTTCTAGAGAAGTGTACACCATGCTTGTGGGGAGCTAGTGAAAACGCAGATCCTTGACTAGACAGATTGACCTAGTAGCTTCAGTCATGGGTCAAACAGGATAGTATTGAGCTAGATCACTGCCATAGACTGTGCCGGGTCTGTGGTACACAGGGGCTCCACAGAGCACTGCCATAGACTGTACTGGGTCTGTGGTACACAGGGTCTCCACAGAGCACTGCCATAGACTGTACTGGGTCTGTGGTACACAGGGTCTCCAGAGAGCACTGCCATAGACTGTGCCGGGTCTGTGGTACACAGGGTCTCCATAGAGCACTGCCAGACTGTGCCGGGTCTGTGGTACACAGGGTCTCCAGGAACTGGAATTGACTTGGTGGCACATAACAACAATTGTTCTTAACTCCATTTTTTGAGCTCTTATATGTTATATATGCTGCTTCTTTTAACCTTCATAACTTTAGATGAAAAAATTTTTTTCTCATTTCACAAATGAAATAATTGATGGTCAGACATTATGTAAGCTCTCATGATTACAGAGCTAGTAAGAATAGATTACTGAGGTCTTTCTGAACCTGGGATGCTGTCAAATCTTTAAACACTATTGCCATATTCTTTAATTATTTCTTGAACACCAAAATTCTGTGGGGTCTGGCCAAATGGCTTTGACATGTCCAGACTTGGAAGCCTTGGCTTTCCATGTTGATGTCCTGCAGTCACCGTTGTCATGAGAATGGTTTATGAGAGAGCACATTCTGTGGAGGGTTCCAGGCAGAGCCATAGCAACAACTCCCATGTGAACCTTATTCTAAGTTAGCCTTCAAGCCCTCAGTGCTTCAAGGTCTCTCATGGTTCAGACAGAATCACATGAGCTGTGCTTGACCACCTCATGGAAGGGAAGAACAGGTGGTACGTTCATGGAGGGAAAGAGAGAGAGAGAGAGAGAGAGAGAGAGAGAGAGAGAGAGAGAGAGAGAGAGAAATGGATGAGGTCCCAGATTAGTCCTTAGCTTTTCTAAACAGTTTTAGCATGAAGGTCTTATTGAGAACTTTCTTCCCCAACAAGATGCACCAAGGTATGTTCATGGACACATAATTTCAGCAAACCATTTCAGAAACTTGGGTGCCCCAGGAGAAGGGTACCTGTGATAACTTCTGCAGAGTTCAGCATCTCTTAAGTTCAGGACAAAGACAGAGCTGCTCCTAACACAGAAGACAAACCAGGAGAGTCCCTCTTTTGCTTTCTGCACTCTTTGTCCTTTAAAACAAATCTTAAGACAAGAAGACGATCTAAAAGATGATCTACATAAGGGCTGATGTGAAACTCAGCAGCAGCTTGAGGGAAAAGCCTGGCAAAAAGAGGAAAACTTCACACTGCTGTAGAAGACAGAGGGGGAAGGCTCTACCAAGAGAATGCTCCATTTCAAGGGAGTGCTAGGGTACAACCTTTTTGTAAATCTGTCCAGGTTATCCTTTTACAGATGCAAAGCATCCTCCCGGATCCCAGTCCATACCCTGGACTCAGAAAGACTTAAGTTCAAATCTAGCTAAAATATGAGGCAGAGATGGCTCAGTGGTAGAATTCCTGCCTTCCATATGGGAAACCAGGGTTCGATTTTACAGCAATTACTCCTCATGCACAGCTACCATCCGCTCTTAGTAGAGACTTCTGTGTTGTTATGATACTGAACAGGTTTCAGTGGAGTTTCCATAGTAAGACAGAATAGGAAGAAAGGCCTGGTAATCTACATACAAAACTCAGCCCATTACAACCCTATGGATTACAGTAGTCTGATTCCCAACCAATCGGGAGGATGGCGTTCATTCTGTTTTGTACAGCTGTGCATGGGGTTACCAAGAGACAGGCGCCAGTGCCACAGTAACCCACATTCACAGGTACTGGATACAGCACTGCCGAGCTCTGCGTGTCCCAGCAGGTTATTTTATCTGTAACCTTATTGTTATTTGTAATTCTCAGCTTCCTGCAGAGCCGAACAGAGAGAGATTTCCATTTTTGTGGAAGGGGGTCACTGAGACATGCATGTAAAGTGTGGCATGTGTCTGGCATAGTATCAGTGTTCAATTCCTGTTGTGGTTGTGATGATTTAAAAAATAATTTTAGCAGGATTAGCCTTTGAGATTAAAAATTAAACAAATAAAAAAGCAGTTGGTAGCTAGCAGCTAGCTTTTCAAGATGCATAATAAAACTTCATTTGTGTTTGCAATGCAATCAAACGGATGTGAAGAAATGCTACTTAACAAAGGATTTCACAGCTTTGGTGTGGAGGTGGTGGAAGCTTTCTGTAACTCAACATAAAAAGATTAGCTTTCTCGATAGGATTCTCAAAGACCTAATAACAAAAGTGATCCATTTCTCTCAGCAAACTCTAAACTAAGGCGTCTGTTTATGGGAAGGCTGGTATCTCATCGCCCATCAAGCAAATATTCAGAGTAACATTTGAGAGCTGAATCCCACAGCTATTACCCAACTCTCAGTAAGTTAAGAAAGAGCTCGTAGGTGTGGATCATTTAACTTATCAGCAAATTCTCAATGCTTAAGCTGCGCAGAGCTGCTCACTCCCCAGGCAGCAGATAAAAACAAGAGTTGCTGCATTGTTGAAAGTTACATAAAGAGGATATCTCTTTCCCCAAAATAGGCAGTGCTAGTTTACTGAGGTATGAACATTCTTATCGAATTAAAGTAAATAGATGAGATGAGAAAACTTACTGGTTTCCAAACCACCTGGTCATGTTTTCATACATCGCAGGCTGGCTCAGGCCCTGGTCTCAAATGTGCCCACTTGGCGCCTCCCAAAGGAAAGGCAAGAGCCCCTCTCTATTGTGCAGCCAAGGCAATCCCAGGCACTCAAGGAAGAAGCTGATCCTGAAGCTTCCCTGGGTTAGGAACTCAGAGGCAACACCGTGCTGTGAGAACCAGCCAAGGCCTCTGAGCCAACCGAGCCTAGTGACTTATTAATAAAGGTGCCACCTGATGCAGGGCTCCCCCAGTGCTCTGCAGGCCGGCGGCTTCCCTGGATGTGCCAAAGTATCCTCATGTTGTATGCATGTCCAGAAAACAAAATTAAGTCATTTTGTCGAAAGGCTGTGAGTCGATTTTCCTGCCTCACTTATTCAGCCAGAAATGTTCTAAATAGAAAAATAAGAAATTACAAGGAAGCCTTGTAAAAGAGAAGGAGAAGGGTCCACTCGAAGGCTGTCTTGGGGACTGGAGCCCGGCAATGCCCTGTCCTCCTCCCATCATCTGCCCGTCCCAATTCAGCTCCGACCAGTGTGCACCTTGCTAACTTCATGACACAAATCTGTCTTTAAGTTGGCAGTCATCCTGGTAGCTATCTTCCAAGCCTGATTTAGCACATTTTTTTTCCTCCGAAGACATTTGGATTTTTCTCCCCAACCCCACAACATTCCTCAAAAATAAACAAGCAAGCAAAAATGAGGTGACCAGAAGCTCATTGTTTGCTTGCAACCAATCCTGCTCCAGCAGTGTGCTTTCTCAGACTAGCAATCCCTATTCCCTTTCTACCAAATGCCACAGGCCCAGGCCGACAAACAATGCAGCCAAACAGATAAACATGCACAGACACAGACGCCTAGCAGCCAAAATGTCTATGGTTCTGGCACAAGCCAAGAGCTCAGGGTCCCACCAAGGGTGCAGCTGCTTGGGGGATGAGGGCCTGGCTGCCGAGACCTGACCCCATCCCCTGAAATCTTTCCTGCGTGGGTCTGCAGGGTCTTCACGTCCCTGATGGTAGCCTAAAGATGATGGCTGACTTCCTCTCCCGCAAGGAGGCACAGGCCTCCAGAGAAAGCAAGAAGCCTGAGCCTCCCCCCTACCCACCCAGCTGCCTCTTTCCCTTTCCTACTGCCCAGGGCCTCTTGGTCACTGAGACCTCTGCAATGTGCCACCACCTGGGTCCCCACAAGGTCTGCAAAAGGGCTCCTCCACACAGAGCCTCTCTTCCTGCCTCTCAGCTGCGCCTCCAGCGTCGCTATTTGCCAAGGCTGCCTCCTCACAGTTATCTCCGTCTCCTCTGCTCTCATCCTTTGAGCCCAGTCCCTGTGCTAGGTTGACGCATACACCTACCCTCTCCTTCCCACTCCCCTTTGCCACCATCTTTGTTTACCTGTTGCCCCCCTTCCCCTAGAGGTGACACTTCTAAGGACTGCCTCACCGCTTCATCAGCCTCAGCCCTTCTTTAGTCTAACACTATTTCTCCTTGATCAAAACTCCCCAGGGACCTTGAGTTAAGGGCAAACTTTCTGCCTTCTTATAAGATCGTTGAGATTTACCAACAACAATTAAATCTCATCACCTCTACAACCTAGAGAGGTGACCTTACACCATTTATCTAACTAGCCGCAGCCGTCAGCAGCTCATCTTCATAACAGGGTGACAATGGTAAGCTTTCACAAGATGGTCCAGAGATTTAGTGATTTTATTCTTAAAGTGTTTCATGCAGTAGTGCCTGGCATAAGAGCTCTACATATTATTATGTGACACAAGCATGCCTATAATCCAGATACTCAAAACACTACCATTCATGATAATTACAGAAAATCCCAATCTCCCAAACACACCTACCTATCCCTTCTCTAGCATATGAGATTGAAGATTTGAGGTCAAAGTGAAAGTGAAGTGTCAACATAGTCCGGCATGCTACTCTAAGAAGGATATGACAGGGCCTCTTTCCCTAGGCTGATTCTCTACCCTTGCCTAAACTAGGCAGGGGCCCCAGGAGAGTCACACATGGGGCTTGGTTGGATGAGCACTGGCAGGTATGGACACCGGGCTGCTAGTCTCATGAACGTTTACAGAACTGCACAATTGCAGGCCTGGGGGCTGGACTAGGGAAGAGTAAGGCTTCCTGGGCAAGAGCCCCAGAGATCATTGCTTAGGTCCTTGGGGCTAATGAAAGATAGGGACAGGAACTGATACGATAGGAACAGCAGCCCAATGTCGACAAATCTTGAAAGAGGGAGGTGGTAGTAGTTGGAGCTGCCAACAGCAATGGTTTGGTAGCATTCAGGTCCATTCTGCAGGATATGGGTGCCACCCTAAAGGCAAAAGGAGGGTAGAGAGCATTATAGCCACAGACGACTTTGGAGAAATCTGAGCACAAGGACTGCTTCTTAGGCCCTGAGCTAGATGGAGCTACAGGTATCCTTGGACAGGAATGATGGGCAGACCTCTAGGTGGTCCCTGCACACTCAACAAGCCAATCCCACAGACTGCATCAATCAAAACCAACCTCACTGCAGGCAAGTCTATTCTGACTCATATTGACCCTACAGGAGAGAGTAGAATGGCCCTCATGGTTTCTGAAATGGCAAGTCTTTGTAGGAGTAGAAAGCCTCCTCTGTCTCTTGAAGAGCAGCTGCTCGTTTTAAACTACTGACCTTGTAGTTAGCTGCTCAGTGTGTTACAACTAAGGCATCAGGGAGGGTGCACTCAAAGGAAAAACATCTGCTGTTTGTCTTCCCTGTCTCAATCCCAGTACCGGGCCTTGAATGCACTGGAAGCAGCACCCTGATGGAAAGAAGGACCCTGGAATTATAGATGGTGCGAGACTTCTGAATGATGTTTGGCCTCAGCAGGTGACAGATGAAAAATGTCAGGAGGACATAGCATTGCAATCTGATTTAGGTCATGCTGGTGAAGACAAGCACCAGGGACTTCCAAAAGCACAAACAAGTCTGTCTTGGAAGAAGTACAGCCAGAATACTCCTATCAAAAGCCACCACCTTTGAAAATCTGAAACATATAGCCGTAGTGCAGTAGATGCTATCATAGAACTACGAGCTTTAGAACCTGTCCCACACATTGTCCCAGAAAACAGAAAACTGGCCAAGACAGGATTATAATCCAGAGTCCAACTCATCCAATAAATGGGCTGTGTATCATATTTTCATCCTTATAATCACGTTCTGAGCCACAATGCATGTGGTTGGAAAAAAGAGTGAAAAGGGAATAAACAACAAAATAGCAACTCACAACTGAAGAGACAACAGATTCATACAAGACTGAAAACCTTCCTTTTTCCCTTTTGTAGCAGACCATGAAATATGAGGCGAGGGCAGATTTGAGACTCCTTCAGGATCCATCCAGCTGTGAGTTCTGGAAGGGTTGGACATGGAGGCCCGAGAGATCATGCCAGGGGGAAACAGAATCCCCCCACGACATTCCTAAATGGAGATGGCAATAGCAAAGGCAAGACTGACCAGTTATTTTTATGACTTTTTCCCTAATTTCTAAATGAAATTTCTTCCTAAGCTGTTTGGCCAGCAGTAGCTATAACCCATTGAACTTCAGGGATTCTGGCATTAAATAATACATGAATGACAGGAGTTAATGTGCTAAGCTTCTGCCTGAAACGTTGTAAGTTTGAGTTTTCCCAGAGGCTTCTAGGAGGCAAGGTCTGGCAAGCTACCTCCCAAACTAGTCAGGTGAACACCCTTTGGAATGACAGCAGCTGGTAAGGATACCTGAGGAATAAATTACAAATGCAGACCTATTGACATGGTGGTAGAAGAGGAAATAAAAACAAACAGCCATTATGGTTTTCAATATAATCGCATAAAACTTATTATTAATTAAAATGAAATGTTTTATACTATCATTACAATTTGGGGATACACAACACATACAAATGATTCAGAATGCTTGGTTTGATATTAGCATCTGAGAAGACATGTTGGTCAAATTAGCATTGATTTCAGCTCAAAAGAACTGTGGCAAACAAGAGATTTCTTCTTGTTTCACAAACAGAATTTACAGGATGCTAGAAAAAGTAACAAGTCATAATCTTTTACCAGGAGGATCAGAGAAATGTCAAATTTAGGAATATAGGAAAATATTAAAGAGAGTAATTTGCTTTCAATGAGCTCAAACAATGTTTTCTTTTTCTCCCTTCCATGGAGGAAAAAAGATGAAGAAGCAAAAGACTGTATTCAGTTCTACTAACCAGAATTAAAAAACCAATCAAGCAACAAACAAAAAAACTCTAGTGGGGATCCTAAGAAAAAACCTGAAGGACAAGAAGTTATATAGAGAGCCATATACTCTGAAATTCATCACGGCTGCTTACTGATAAGCCCATTCTATTTCTATGTACTTTTGTAAATAACTGAAAAGCAGTGAAATCTGACTCTCTAGCTTTCAATATGAGCCCATAACTGATTGGAACAGAATGGAGCTCCGAAAGTTCTCAGGAAAATGGATCCAACTCCCTTCACTTGGGGCCATGTCCTCACATATAATCACGGTTCAGAGAAAGGCAAGACAGTGATGGCCCCACGCCTTGTGTCGGGCACAGCTCACCTGGTTTCTGTGCCCGTGCCACCTTGAGGCAGTGCTCCACCTGACTGTAGAAGTCACCACTGCACCTGGTCTTGGTTTGTTAGACCATGTCTAACTCCACAACTGTAGAGTTGGCCCTGACTCATCATGACGCAGGGGTGTCTTGAGTGGAATTAGACTCCATAGGGTTTTCAATGGCGGGTTTTCAGAATTAGACCACTGTGGCTTTCTCCTGAGGCACTCTGGGTAGAATTGGACCTCCAACCTTTTGGTTCATAGATTAACGTTTTAACCATTTGCACCACGGAGGGAGCTTCAAAAAGCTCATGGGAAAATTCCATTATTTTTTCATTCAATTTTCCCACTCACTTTTGGAAGTCCCCTTATATTCTTGTACAGTTGTTGAACTCAACTCGTTCCAAATTTGTGTTTGAATACCAGAAAGCTCCAGAAAGGAACATATTTCTCCCATAAGAAATAATGGAAAGCCAAATAATTAGTTCCGAGGCCCCAAAATCACACTAATAAAATTCACTATGGAGGCTTCCAGCCTTCTTGCACATCACTGCC